AATGCAATACTGACTCTCAAAAGCAAACAAGGCCTGCATCTCATTGATTTTTCCAATGTGTGCGGAGGCAGCGCTTAAAGATGCGGTCAAGCATCGGCAACTGTTTCATTGTTGAGTAATCAACCACACATGTGCATGTTTCAAATCGCGCAACAGTTCACATCCCCCCCCCCCCCCGGAAAAAAGACAAATGCAGTTGCGTGTAGCTCAACATTGTGCTTTGTTCTCACACCAAAAGTCACGTATCAACATGATTGTCTACAGTATATTAAAAAAAAAATCGATTAAAACTAAGACTATTATTGAATTCTTATTTAATATTTTAATTTTGGTGGATAGATGGCCAACAATTGATGAAAAGCATTTCATCAACTGCACTGCAATTTTGTTATTATGTGCAATGGGGGAGGGCCTTTCCACCAATTTGTCACCAGATTCATTAACTGTTCTCACCAAATGACTACAAATTATATGTACTAAGAATTTCTTTTTTTTTAATTTAAAGGAAAGATGCAACATTTGCAAACATCAAAGAACGAAATGATCAAATTATCACGTAATACCTTACTGAACTGTTAGGGAATGACAGTTTAAAGCATCCTTTAAAATCATGGATCCTGGTGTGCTGACATTTTCAAGAAAAACTGTATTTTTCCAACGCTGGTCAGCCGACCAGCGTTGGAGAAAACTGGCTTTTTTCAAAAACTAATCCTACTTTTTCATATGTTCTGACTTTTCTTTGCAATTGATTACACACCAGTGAAGGGGTACAAGCCTGCTAGACTTACATGTATTCTCTGACCTTACAATTCCCCAAAGTGTAGGCCTATTAATTGCTCTGTTTCATCTTAAGTGGGGTCAGGGAACCAGACTACAAGAATAGGATAGGTTTTCTTGGTTTTTCCAGCATCTACAAGCCCAAAACGTGAAGTACCTAAGTCAGTTTAACACTATTTTCTATAACATACTTAACCGCAAAATCCATTTATTTCTGAAAATTGCAGCAAAAGCAAATGTTGTACATTCCCTTTAAAAAGGGACTGTCACAAAACAATTTGGCTTTAATAGCAATGGCCAAAATTTGTCAACAGATGGGGACACCCTCACTGAAAATAATACAAGGCATAACCCACATAAGAGTCGTGCCCTAAATTCATGAAATTAATTGAAGGTACGGTACAGTGTACAAGTGCTGTAGATTTAACTGCACCGTGTGTCATTTGGCTAAAGATTTACAATTTAAAAAAGTTTAATAATTAAACATAGGATGTGCATACATGGTACTCCACACCAAGCATGCCAGGTTGGCTATTTTATGGCTCCGTCCAAAATGTTCAAAACTAATGTACATGCAGTATGTAGTTGTGTTCCCTAATGTGGCGAACTTCGAAGCTTACCCAACTTTCCTCGTGTAGTGTTGCCAAACCTCTTTGTTGACAAACCTCAAATTCATGCAGTGAAATACTGGTACTTTTACCTTATTAATGCGTGCTATTTGACCTCTGTGAACAGTTTCGGTTTCATAAAATTTAATCAGAAATTCAAAAACGGTGGCGTCCGGAAATTGGGCACAAATTCACAGAGTGTTCCCTAACGTGGCGCACTTCAAAAATTAATCTCGGAAAATTCCAAATTAACATTTAAGAATTTCTGTTAACTTGTTAAATGCTGATAAATCATTATTATCTCTACTTACATACCCAGCCAGATGTTTGTCAGAAAATTATTTTCTTATTTTTCGGGGCATTTTCAAAGGGTTTACTTTGCACTTGAAAATAAAATCGGAAAATCATGTCAAAATAAATTCTTCTTCTAACTTTGTAACAGGTAAATAAACTCGCGATTTATGAACGGGAGTGTTTAGAACTTGATGAAATGTCACTTTCTGTGAAATTTCAGTTAAAACTTTTGCTCTAGCTAGGCGCTACATGCGAAAAATCAAAGTGCGCCACATTGGGGGCTAAGGCACGTTAGGGTACATCAACAATACAATCAGTGTGCATTCTTGTTGTCATTGTCACTACTACATTTGTATGTGTGTATACATGTAGATCAGTATTAAAGTATAATCTATTTAAAGTCCTGGACATATTTGGACTTTGATTAGCTGATATACCCCGGTTACGGTCTACTCTATTATGATGGTAATATATCACCAACGTGACAAGCTCTTGATATTGGACGCCACTGTGAGAAAATTGACTGATTAGTAGAGTATGTAAAAATGAGAATTGACATGTAAAAGTTAGCGAAAGTACTGCACCACGTACATTGTACATGTATACATGAAGGTGATTATAATGTACATGTGCAAGTTCATGTAGGGCCTACATGCCCTTTGTCATGTTTGTACCCTACGATCGACAGAATAAGTGAGGCTGATGTTGATTCTTATAGCAACAAAATTTCACTGTTCCTTTAAAAGTCATCATCAAAATAACCATCTTCCAAATTATCATTTAAAGTGTTGAACAATTCACAGATAGTCTTTTAATAAGGTTTAGTTCTTTTTCTTTCTTTGAATTAATGTCCTGTACAAGATTGCAGCTTTCTGAAAAAAGTTAGTTCATAAAAATTTGGCACTGTTTTGCTTATTTTTGTTTTTAAGAAATTATTATTGAAAAGCTTACTTGGTGGAAAGATAGTAATGGCACTAAACACCCTGTGAAATTATTCTTCCAGGCATGCTGTCATATTCAAGAGAACAATAAAAGAAGGTAATTTCCAAAGATGCATCAAGTGACACATTTTTGGAAATTTCCATTAGTAGTCGGTTTGTGATTCAGCAAATCCGTGAATACGGTAGGTACGCGCGCAAGCGTTGACATGATGCACACGCGCGTGCGTTTGCTATTATTCGTCAATTCAGAGCGTGACATCGCGTAGGTCTGCAATCGGCTGAATGAGAACGTGTCCCGGATACTGACTTCGGCCGCAATTTTTTAAAAAATGACTCGGCAACTTTTGAATTGAAATCGAGATCCTAGAATGAAATTCTTGAAATATGACATTCACTCAGCTAAAACTTCTTCAGGGTGGTCATGGTAGTTGTTAAGCACCCATCTTTAGATTATGAGCACTTTTGTTGCTTCACACCAAAAAAAATGCACAAATGACAAATCGTCTACCCTACATGTAATGACATGAATGAGTAAATCGTGCAAAAGTTTGTGCTGCATAAAAAAAACTAATCTGCGTTAAATACAATGTACGTGTATCATGACCCAACGGCTGTTGGATGTCCTACTCGGCATAAATAATTGAGGCGCATCCGTATTCCCGGATGCGTTTTTTTGGGGGGATATGATACGGCCATACCGTACTTCACTCAGCTGCCTGCCATGAACTTCCACTTCGGTTGACAAATGAATTGCACTGGCAAATTAATGGCATCATATGCGGAAGAATATTACATTCGGGGATCTGCCAAAGAGCGCACCAATTAGAGGATGCCTCGATTATGCTGAATACATCATCTAACAGCAGTCGGGTCAATAGACCATACTGTCACTGTGTATACTGAATGTATTACCGACCCGATTGCTGTTGGATGTCCTACTCAGCAAAAACAGAGGCGCCCTCTGATTGGCTCGTCAGCAGATACCCGAATGCAATTTATTCCCCGCAAATAATGCGGCCATAACACAGGCGCGGTGCCCTTCACGTGTGTACGTTAAAGGAATGGGATTCTAGTTTAGGTCGGGAACCAGACTAAATTACTCCGTGCAGCTAGGTTTGTATCAAGTGTGTGGTCAACGTTCGAGGTGTGTGAAAACTGACCGTTATGAGATAAAAATCTGTCGCTAGAATAGAAATAGCGACAGAGAACATCATCAGCATATGTATATCAATTATACTTAAAATCATTCAAGAAGTTGTTTTTTGGCAGTGTATATTTTGCCGGAGACGGCAAACCTTTAGTAAACGTTAGTTTGCCGGATATGCACTGAACATGCGCAGTTACTGTTTTTTTTTACTTAAACATTTTCCGGTGACAAGTTTTAGTCTGGCTCCATGCCAAAATTATCGTTGTTACCTCGTATTCACAACATGGGATTCAGACCATTTTATAATTTCGGACTTTATTTCCCTTTTAAAAAAAATCCTCCAGAGCCACAAATCTGAAAAAGAAAATGTAATACTCTGCAAAAAATGTTTGAGACATGTTAAAATAATAAAAGAAGAATATTCGTATTTATTTGGGGATGAGAAAAAAAAACTTTAAAATGTGGTGCGGTCGGAATCGAACGCGAGTCATCCCGCTTACTAGAGCCTTTGCTTAACCATTACACCAAACGTGCTACACAACTTTTGGTGGGAATTTAATACATCTTATAATTCAGCCCTATTTTAAAGAGTACAGCGCCCTCTGTTGATATGGATTGCTGCCGGCAAACCTTTAGTAATCGTTAGTTTGCCGTCATTACCTCCGGCAAAATATCCACTATCTTGTTTTTTCAATGTGAAACCTACGACGAGTTTGTCGGTTTAGTGTTGGCCGCCATCTTGTTCACATGAAGCCGAGATCTAAACAAGATGGCGGCTAATACTAAATCGACAAACTCGTTGTAGGTTTCGCGTTGAAAAAAAACCAACTTTTTAAATAATTTTAACTTTTTTTTATACGCTGAAGATGTTCTTTTTCGCTATTTCTACAATATAAAGCTACTTCTGATGTTCAAAAACCTATAAAAAATTTGTTGACGCTGGGTTGACGTTTGTTGTTGTTGATGCCAGTTGACGCTCGTTGATGCATTTTAGTAGGACCCGTATGACATGTTCCCCTTACAAAAGTGATTGTAGGTCTGGCCTCGACGGGCCATGGACCCTAATCTATAATACAACTCAAAACGCATCAAGAAAATATTTGCAACTATGACACGCATTACGTAGTGTGTAATAATACGTGCTAAAAACAACAGTTCAGTGCATACGTACATGTACAATGTACACGACAATGCTGCACGCACAATTTCAACGAAAACAAATGCAACACTTACAGTACGTGCAGTCTTGCAAATCCTTGATTTCTGTGGGGCTGAGTTTACTGGAAGTCTTCCCCATGGTAGAGTGGATACAGTTCCTTCATTAGCTGCAGACTGTGGTGATTTTCAAAGCATAATTTGACCGAACAGCTTCGTTGGATGTGTTTGGAAACATGACAACAAGAAGCACATCTCACCTTTACCAGTCGCCATAGCTAGTCGATTTACAGAGCGCTCCAGTAAAACAAGTGGTGGCGCCCTTCAACATTAACGGTGGTCACTTTTTGTGTGCTAAAAACGCAATGCGTCGCATACAGATAGCTGGTAGGATTACTGTTATGGTTTATGTGGAGTTTCCATCTGTTCACATATGAAGCTCCTTGTAATTACAAATAAAAAGTCTCCGTCTCCTGAATTTTTTTTTATGAAAGCGGCGCACGGGGCCCGGGGGGGGGGGGGCGGAGCTAGTTTCTTCCTCAAATTATTGGCAGGATTTTCCCTTCATTTCTGTATTTTGCTTAAACTTTTAAGTTTGTTTTTGTAGTTGTTGTAGTTTAAGTACCGTTCTTGAATGATTTTAGTTTTTCTTTTGTATGAAGGCTTCGCTATTTTAGCAAATTGTCATTTTTATTTTAGGAGTGAGGGGCTCAAATAAGATTGACTTGCACTTCTGCAACCGTAGCTAGCTGAACTTGGAAAAAATCCGCATGAAAATAAAAATAGAAGAAGCGGTGCCCTTGATAAACTATTGAGGGCGCTTTCTCACTGCCAAGGAACTTTTGCCTGGGCCTTGAGAATTTCTAGTCTAGACAGCGGCGGGGACGGTAATTGGTGCATATTTCTTGCGTCCCCTCAGCTTAAAAATCGTCGTTTATTCATGCCCAAGCAAAGCTGACGTCGAACGATAAAGTGCACTGAAAATCGTGTTTTTCCAGTGAGGTAAGTTGTTTATTTTGATGGTTTATTCTCGGCTCGGGCGCTGCTGAGAGTGAGACAGTCAAACTCGCAGTGAATGCAGCTGGCCTGGGCGGAGGGCGGGGAGGGGGGGGGGTGTCAGGGGAAGGGGCGGAGGGGGGGGGGGAGGGGCTGAGGGGGGGGGGGGGAGGCTGGGGCAGTCATATTTCGCAAAATAGAACCCAAAATGACAATACCACCAGTTGCGGTCCATTAACTTGTTCCTTCAGCCTTTCAGGCAAAAAAAAAAAAGTTCTGCTTCCGAAGTTATGGTTTCCCTACCTAGGGGCCCTACCCTATTCTGACAAGTGACAGCCCTTACCCTATTTTTTAAAATACTTTATAGGAAAAATGAGAAATAAATGCCCAAAACCATCAATTTCTACCCTTTACCCTTGACTACATGCAGACGCTTCCATATGATCGTACACAAAAAAAATGGCCAAATAAAAATTTCCCTACCTACCTACCCTATTTTTGTATGCCATGTTATTTGTAATCAAAACAGAACTTTAGGGGGGGGGGCCTCAGTATGCTATAGGCCTATCTTCTTTAAAAAAAAAAACCAGTGACTTAGGTCTAATGTCCAATGTTAGAAAATCTGTCCAGCTATTTTAATTTGTATCCGTCTTTAGTGATCATGATCAGATGTAATTTGTTTTTTTATCTCATTCAGTACTGCATGATGTTCACTCCGACCCAAAACCACATTCTCCACAGCAGCACACACCATGAGATACTACGGACATGGGAGTCTGGCAACGTTCACGTTAATGCTTCCAACCTGATCTATCCCATCTTCATCACGTAAGTTGAAAAATATTATAAACTTCAAAATATGATGAAAACATCAACAACATCCTATCAGCTACCCACGCCACTCACCTTTTCATTGCTATCCACAGTGATAATGAGAATGCTGTCGAACCGATAGACAGCCTACCCGGCCAGTCGCGGTACGGGGTGAACCGACTGGGGGAGTTCTTAGAACCGCTGATCAAGAAGGGGCTGAAATCTGTCCTGCTGTTTGGAGTGCCGACAAATTTGCCAAAGGTAAGGAGAAAAGTTCCCACAGAATTTTTGAGAAACGGTGGAAGAAATAGGAAAGCGCTACTTCACTATATCTGAAAAATGCTCGTGGTGAAAACTTAAACTTTGACCTGATTTGCATTTTGTCATTCATGCTTTCAAAACTTCAAGTCTTTCCTTTTACTCTCCTTGTGGGAAGTCAACATTCAGAGCAATGTGTAAAACCCTAACCCTGCTGAATCCAACTATATCATATACCAGATGGAGCATGTTGGATTGAGCAGTAAACCCCTTGTGTACATTCCTCATGCAAAATGTTGGATTCAGCAGGCAACTGAACCACATTAAAATGCCAAGTTGGACTCCGTTGGATTCAGCAGACAACTGAAAATAAGGCACAGTGGATTCAGCAGGAAACTCCGGTTGGACTCTGTTGGATTGAGCAGGGTAGTCCTGAGGAACTACAAGGGGTTAGGTTAAACCTTGCAGGTCAGTTTCAGGAGAAGGTATCTGAAGTGTTTCAGTAACTGTGACACACAGAGAGTCACTGCACACAAAAAGAGCACTGTGGAGAGCAGTGAAGCGTAACTGAATCTACCTGCTTGCCCTGAGCTTAATAATAACCACACAAATGAAATGTGCAGAGATTTGACTTGTTATCTATACTGCACAGAAGATTATCTCAAAGGAATAAGTAGTGTGGGTGCTGCAATGCTGTAACTCTGTGGGCAAAAGTGGTTTTGCAAAACTTGAAAGGTTGTGACGTGCAGGAGAATTAATGTAATTTTTACATTTTTACATTTTTTTTTTAGGATAGCCGAGGTCAGAAGGCTGATCAGAAGGATTCCCCAGTTGTCCAAGGAATCAAGAAGATTCGTGGCCTCTTCCCAAGTCTGCTCGTGTGCTGCGATGTCTGTCTGTGTGCCTATACAGACCATGGACACTGTGGTATGTTCTATTTAATTCTAAAAAAAAAAAAAATGTCAACTACTGAAATGTAACTTGGCTCTAATAGGAAATTTCAATCCTTTTGAAAAATGGTGATTTGATACCGGAAAACCTACCACAGTTGTCGTAGGATTGTATGATAGAAAGGAGGATGTGAGGGGTGGGGAGGGGAGGGGGAAGGGGGGGGGGAGACAGAGACCCGCACCTGTCTAAAGAGGGTTGAAGTATACATCGTCTGTCTTTGCTGTATGTGACAAAAACTGCACTATGAAATTGTATTTTGAACCAAAGCGCGGAAACCTGCCGCCCACTTTTCTATCAACCCCACCCACTCAATAGGGAGTTCTGATCGTCATCAGTCTCATTTTATTTTATTTTTGGCCAGGAATATTGTCGCCTGATGGGAGTATTGACAACAAGGCTAGCATCTCACGGCTATCAGAGGTGGCCTTGGCTTATGCAGTGGCTGGTAATAAATGCACTTCTTACATTGTTCTGAGGCCAGTGAGATTCTGTTAACCCTAACCACCCCCAACCGTTCATAATCCAACTGCATGTTTGGCTTGATTCTGTTGGAGTGAGTACTGCACTAGTAAACTGATAATGCTTTGCATGGGGTCAGGCATACCACTTTAATCAGAGTCCAGTAGTTTGGGTGTAGAGTTTATTGTGTTTTGCAAGAGTGAGGAAGGTTCTTAGTAAATCGCTCAAGGAGGTTAACCCTAACCCTGCCAGACGCAACACAGTGCATCAGGTGGAAAAGTCTGGTGCTTTTTGATGCATTTAGCTATCAACACCAGTGTGAAACAATGAAAGCTAATTAATCCCTTTGAACAATGCCACGTTTGTATCCTGCTGCATTCAGTGACCACAGACTCTGAGGCAGTTTGGCCTTGAGACTTTGGGCCTGATGGATCTTGCTACACTGGGCAGGCTTGTCACTTAGACAAGTGGTGCATGTTGCTGCGTTTGTATGTCAGGGTTTCTAGCCAAAATACCCCGGAGGGTTAGGGTTAAGGTTAAAGTCAGTGATTAATAATCAATGACACTTTTGTTTAAAAATTATTTTGGGAACATCCTCAAGTTTGATTGCTATTGGAGGAAATTGCGTAATAATTGCTTAAGACTTCTGTGGACTTTAAAGAAGACTTGTTTATAGATTACTCACAAATCTGTTGAATTTGGCAATCCCAAGCGAAATCACAAGTCGCAAGGAACCGGGGATGAACAATGACAAATGCGAGCTTCTCGACTCAGTTCATTTGAGTAGCTTGTGACTTTTACACAAGATGGTCTGTGATTCCTTCGTGAGAAATCGTGCTGACTTGTGATTGTTTTGTGATGCCTGTGTTCTGTGCAGGTTGTCAGGTTGTAGCGCCCTCAGACATGATGGACGGTCGCGTCGGTGCAATCAAGCAAACCTTGGTACGCAATCACCTGCAAGGCAAGGTAACAGTAAAGGATAGAAATTGTCGTATTAAATGGTGCTTATAATAGCGCTTTATACCTAAGGTCTCAAAGCGCTTCACAATTACTACCCCTGTTCATCAGGAATGAGACAATTTTTCTGCAGCAGCTCGAGATCAGCGCAATTTGGTCTCTACCTTCACAGGTCCCCATTAATACTCACATTAATAACGTGTCTTGCCCAAGAACACAAGCACCATGTTCCCCATCAGGGTTCGAACTCACGTGCCACGGCACACGAGTCGAACACCCTAACCATTGGACCACAGCGCCCCACTAACAGGCTCTCACTGAGTAAAAAAACGTGCACCGTGCTCCAGGCTGGACTCGAACCCACAACCTGCAGAATTACCCGCAGACCACAAATTCAAAGCTCCAGACCGTGATTTGTATCCAGTGAGTCCATGACTGAGTCTTGGGCAGTGTCAGCACACACACAAAAAAGTTGTCTTGACGACACACTATTCCCAAACGGGGAAAAATGGTTCAAGTTCTTTTTATTTCCCAGTGAGCGTCCCCCAAGTGAAGAATAACTGCACATGGACAATTAAATGTTAACCACTTGGCGACAGGATTATTTTTGCCGAAAATTTTGATTTTCGAAAAAGGCAAAATATAGCAGCCTACTTTTGATATACAGCCAAATGCCACAAATACTGCCTCGCAAGAGTCATTTTAACAGTATTTGTATGATACTTTTTACCGCAACCTCATATTTTTCAACACTCCAGGGTGTGTCCACAGAGCGTAAATTGTACCACAACAGGCCGTGCACAGCGGCCAAGTTCAAGTTCAAGTTCAACACACGGTGCGCCTCCACAGACTCCTCGGACTTTGTGTGTGTGTACAAAACAAATGGGGGATTAACGTGTTTAGACGTCATCCGGAGGTGTGGCGAGGCATGTTTGACATTTTAACCCGTCAGCTGTGCCTGTGTATAAAAACAGCCAGATCCTGTTAACACGTCATCCAACGCGAACTGGTTACAGAGCGGTCTCTCCAACCATGTAGTCAACTGTGTAATGTATTTGCAGCCATAGGTGACATTTTACAGTTTTTAACCGTTAACTCTTTTCATGTTTACACATGTATCACTTTCAGGTCGCCGTCATGAGCTACAGTGCCAAGTTTGCTTCCAGTTTTTACGGACCGTTTAGGAGTGCTGCCAAGTCGGCCCCGTCGTTTGGCGACAGAAAGTGCTACCAGCTTCCCCCAGGGTCTAAAGGACTCGCCAGCAGAGCTGTGGTAAGTGCAGAGCCCTGACAGCTCTTGCTGGTCTGCTGTGTCAAAGATTTTGGCAATTAGTTACAGAAAAGCCTGCTGAGGGAGTTGCTACTGCTGACAATCATGCATGCAAGATGATAGGCTGTCTCAAGAAGACAAAGTAGCTTCGTAGTTGAATCCCAAAAAATACTAAAGAAAAAGTCCCTTGTTTGTGTTTATTCGAGTCCCACACTGAAAACAAAAACAAGTCTGGACTGTGGACCTAACAAGTCTTTGAGTTCAATTTTTGCTGAGTTACAACAGTTATAACACTGAGACACTGAGGAGCACGTTCCAGGCTTACCATACAGCAATCTATGGCTGTGCATCGGAACCGGGTACCTGAGTACCCGACCGCTGATGTCAGGAACCGGTTCCAGATTATGGGATCGGGTACCCGTACCCAACTTTACAAATTACTTAGTTGCTTCTCAGACAATGAAAAAGGAAGGTTTTGAATGTCATTTGTTTGGAATTTTCATTCAAAATGAAAACCAGGCGACATGGAAAACCAAAACAGGTTTCACGTTTGTGACGCTCGCAGAAGTTGCAGTTCTCATCAGAAAGCTATAAAGCTCACTGTACACACTTGTATCTTGCTGCATTGATGAACTGATGTGGTAGTATCATCGTGCGGACCTTTATGAACAATCTGAACAGCAACTTGCGAGATTTGGATTTTGGGGTGGGGTTTCTTTAACGGATACCTGGGTACCCATTTTTTTTTTTTTCAATCTGGTACGTGGTTGCTGTACTACCCGTAAATGCAAATCCCTACACGAATCAGCAGGAATGAAGCAACAGGAATAACAAGATTAACATCCATCTCATCCGCCAATGCCTCCCCAGGAACAGGAAGGACTTTCCCACAAATCAATACACCACTGGATACTCAAGTGAAGACTGTACCTTCTTATTGATGTTTTTTTCCTCCTGTATGACAGGATCGAGACGTGGCCGAGGGCGCGGACATCCTGATGGTCAAACCGGGGATGCCGTACTTGGATGTGGTCAAGCAGACTAAAGACAAGGTAGCACAGATGCAGCATTCACTTTCGCGTCTTCATTTTCTCATCAAATAAAACTACAAAAATCACTCACTTAAGCATTTTTCATTGCTTTATCAAAGTGAACCTCATAGTTTTCCTCTTTGAAACACAGAATACATTAGTGCAACTGAGAAATCATCACAACTGAATTACAAGTCAATCAGAAGTCAATCACAACCATTACATGTCATTTACAACCCATCACAAGTCAATCACAACCCATCACAACCCATCACAAGTCATTCACAACCCATCACAATTCAATCAGAAGTCAATCACAACCCATCACTAGTCCATCACAAGTCATTCACAACCCATCACAAGTCAATCACAAGTCAATCACAACCCATCACTAGTCCATCACAAGTCATTCACAACCCATCACAAGTCAATCACAACCCATCACAAGTCATTCACAACCCATCACAAGTCAATCACAAGTCAATCACAACCCATCACTAGTCCATCACAAGTCATTCACAACCCATCACAAGTCAATCACAACCCATCACAACCCATCACAAGTCATTCACAACCCATCACAATTCAATCAGAAGTCAATCACAACCCATCACAAGTCATTCACAACCCATCACAATTCAATCAGAAGTCAAACACAACCCATCACAAGTCATTCACAACCCATCACAATTCAATCAGAAGTCAATCACAACCCATCACAAGTCAAACACAGTCCATCACAAGTCAATAACCCACCACAAGTCACTAGACTGGAAAACTTGTGATCGACTTGTGATCGACTCTCAGCAACTTATTACAATTCCTACTCTATTCATGGAAGTTTCTCGTCTCTTTTCCCAGTATCCCGAGATCCCATTGGCCATATACCACGTGTCTGGGGAGTACGCCATGTTATATCACGCCAGCCAGGCAGGAGCCTTGGACCTGAAGTCAGCTGTCTTGGAATCACTCACTGGCATGAGAAGAGCAGGTAACGGTCACTTTTGGGTTTTTTTTTTAATAATCAAAAGAAGACATCTGTCTTGTAGCCCTTGCTTTAACCCCGTTTCTTTGGCATAAAATGATAGGGAATATGTTTTGGGGTTCCTTGTTAGAATGCCAGTCCACTGCAGGTAACACGTAATGCTGGAATATCTTTATCTTCGTAAGTGGAGAAAACAACTGGGGGCTGGCTTGTGGGTAAAGTGCTAAGGACACATGAATTTTAGAACTGTTTTCCAGTTTATTTTGGGTTTGTCGCAAGATGGCTTAACTGACCCGACCCGACCCGAAAAGTGCAAACGCAAAAACCAAAACCGACCTGACCCAATTGAAATGATGGGAAAACCGACCCGACCTGACCCCAAAATTGGTTTACAGTCATGTCAGTTTTGGGTCGGGTTTGCACAACATTAAATAGTTGTACCCAGTGAATACATGTGGGTAAAGCAGTGACAAAGTCAGAAGACAAGAGGCCGCCCCTTTGGTTCAAGAAAAATACCTGAGAATGGTGTTTAGACAAAATTTGAGAAAAGGTTTCCAGACAAATCGGTATCAAATCTTTAAACGATATTTTATTTCAATTTCACCATCTGTGTTTGTTTTCAGGTGCTGATATCATCATTACATACTTTGTTCCTCAGCTTCTAGACTGGATGGCATCCTAAATAGAAAAAAAAGGATCAAACTGGAATAAAATAAAAACGTCTGACAATAGGTTCAACTCGCACCTGTAAGTCTTCAGCCAAGAATCGTCAACTTCCCGATGTTTTTGTGTCAAAATGTGGAACTATTTTTCTGTAGACCTAAGGACAGTTCATGTGCGAATGCGAATGCGAAGCGAATGTGACGTCAGTGAACATTAGCTGCCAAATTTGCCGGAGTTTAAATGTGTTACAGTTTTGCGAGTTCTCAGTGTGAATACTTGCCGTAGCGTCACAAATAATAAAATTCACGCGTCACAAACGTCATAAATTTCGCGTTTGCATTCGCGCAAAGTATGAACCGAACTTAACTTAATACTCCTTAAAAGAAAAAAGTCCTTTGTGAATACTGGTAAGTTGATGTGTACAATGCATTGTGGTTTAGTAAATATACTGCAAAACTGACTACAACTCAAATGTTTTTGCCGTTGTCATGGCTGTTGCGCCCAAGTTATGTTTTTTTTATGCAACGCAACGGCAAACTACAGATGCGGTATTATACAGCAAATCCTAAATTTACGATCCATTTTGAGACAATAGGCCTCGTGTCAGAGGGCGTTCTTTGTCGTTTTTATTTTTAACAATGAGTGAACAAAATGTTCACTCGTGCCTCTCCAAGCAATACAATACATTTGTCCTCTGACTGCCTCAACGCAAAAGGTCTATTGTGCCATGCAGGCTTGTTAATGAAACTAGGACCAGTTTCATGATATTGCTAAGTGATTTTTTTTTGGGGGGGGGGGCAAATACCAACACTTTTCATTTTGCAGTAAGCATATGGGGCACATAAATGTGCAGACGTTTTGCTTCTGAAAAATGAAGCTTTGTATATGTACATTTCTTTCGGCTTGAGTTTCCAAAGATATGACGGTCATTTTAGCAATACCATGAAATGTGGTTCAAGATTGCAATAAGAGGTAAGTGAATAATAAAAACAGAAAATAAAAACAGAAGTTTTTAATACATTGCACTTTTGTTTTTTTAATTTTTATAGCAGAATATATAAATAGTTATAAGCAGCAGCTGTAATGATTTAAATTATTGAATTTCAATCCAGTCAATTTTACAGTAATCAAGTGAACTACTTTCTTTTACCCTTTCAGTCCTGTTTCAAAGATATCCTGGGTTATATATCGTTTAATTTCAAGCTTCAGAGACCCTACCTGAGATATCTATGGTTATATAAAAGTGTGCTCAGAGTACATTTGGAGGTCATTTGTGTGCAGTGTACGGTACTGAAAGGGTAAAAAAAAGTTGATTATATAATTTTTAATAATCAAATAGAATACCATAGCGTTGCCTTCAGTAACATTTGCCAAAACTCTTGAGAGTTTTTCTACATTATATTGCCCAAGGCAAGTAAATGATCCTTAAAATCACAGGGTTTTACCAAACCTGTATGTAGCCAGAGAATCTAGATCTAGATTTTTGTGGAAGTGTTAGTTCAATTTTCCCCTCGATAAACTACCCATGCTGTGATTCGCCTCTGAAAATTGTGATTTTGCCTGTGGTGGTGATAAAATCTGTACACCATTTAGTTCTTTTTGGAGTGTGGTGATGTAGATTTAAAAATGTAGTTTATTTGAGCCGTCATCCCGTACCGTGCCAATAGGTTCAGCGTCGCTAAACTTTTACGAACCCTTCCAGTATTGAATCCCCGTGCATGTCATCTTGAAACATTATTTACTTTTTTGACCGAGTTGAAGAGGTGTTAACGTTGCATGCAATTGAAATTCAGTGTGTGATTGTGGATTTTCCAACAGAAATATTCCAAATTTTGAAAAGTGTGTTTTTTGGTAATTATTTAGACTTGTAATGCAGTGCCTTTAGTTGCCTACCAGTAGTTCAGATGCAGTGTGGCCTTTTGTGTAACTTGATAAATTTCAACTTTTTGGTCCGAGATCAGCAAATTTAGGTACATACACATGTTGCCACATGTTTAAAACCAAGTTTTTTTTGCAAGATATTGGAATCATAGAGTCCAAAATTTGTGAGTCCTTAACTGCCAAATATGTTACAGGTTGTACTGATTCTGCCAATGAGGGTTTTGATGAATCTGGGCACATGAACACCACATGGCCCCCTTCAATGGAAAAACTATTGTGAATGCTATTGTACAAAGCTTCTGCCATTGAAGGGGGCCTTTGTGGTGGAATTGATAACATGCCCGGTTTGGTCTGAACCCGTAGTGGTAGCAATAATCCACTTTCGTTTGGAAATTTGAACATCCCAATAAAACCATTATACACTGGATATTTTATTGGCTAAACCAACAGCGACATTTTGCGATTTTGTAATTTAGATTCATTCATATTTTATAGGTAACTAAGGTGATAACAGGGCTGTCGCTAGAGGGGCATTGTGGGGGGGGGGGGGGGGTGACACCCGCCATTCAAAATTGCTGTCGGCAAATCCATAATTGTTGTTGGGAAATTTGTAAAATTGAGGGCCTTTTTTAATTATATTATTTTACTGTTGTGGGCAAATTTTTTTTCTTTGCTTGTCAAATATTTTGTTGCAACTTTGTAGGCAAATTTTACTTTTCATACCTCCCATAAATTTTTCTGTTGGCAAATCTGTAAATTGAGGACCGTTTTGTGGTCTGACACCCCCCCCCCACCCCCCATTGAAAATGTTCTAGCGACGCCCCTGAGTGATAACAGAAAAAGAAGACTAAATTTCACAAGATTCACAATTTTAAAACAATACGGTGAAAGCCCAAGCATTGCAGGCATGCAACTTTTCCTCGGATCAGCTGATTTCCTCGTTTTTCATTTCACACTTATACTATTACAAATTGAAAAACACTGTCTAAAGTCTTGTCAAGATTGGAGTTTCCTCTTTTTTGTTATTTTCAAGTTGCATGCCTTGCATTGAAAGCACCGAAGGGAAAAGAGACACCGCCAAAAAAAACCCAACAAAGCAATCACATCAAAAGTTGTAGAAAAATGCATCGGTATTTAAATTATGTATACATGTAAATTAAACAAATTTTAACTGATCTGTGTATAATTTAAAATTAGACATTCAATATAATTTCGAAATGAGGAGTTTCTCATTTCAGATTGCTTGGCTTGGGCTTGAGTAAATCCTACAAATAGAAATGACTTTTGAAAGTACCCCAATGAAAGACGCAATGAGTGAGGCCTAGAAATACAAATTCCTATAGAGAGTGGAAGTCGCGCTAGTTAAAGATTTATCCCACTGTTATCTGCGTGATTGATTAAACAGAATAGTCAATATGCAAGCTCTATTGAATACTGGCTGAAAAAAAAAAAAGATTCATTTATCTTGTATTCAGTACTTAAAAAGTAAACTGTATAAGTCAATGTTTGGTGTGTATATGGGTCATTCTATCAATTTGGGGTCCACTTTTTTTTTAAAGTCCTGTCCCCGTTACATCTGGTAACAATGATTTTATAAAAACGTGTCTGATGCACTTCTTAATTCAACCAACCTCTAAGAGTGTCAAATGTCACACTTTGGACCCTTAATTTATAGAATGAAGTTCAATGAACCATATATGTAGGCGTAACAATAGTTGAGATTTTTGCTTTTTAAAGAAAGACTGTCACGGCAGAACAGAAAAAAACCCATTAATAAGCAAATTAAGCAAAATTGGAAAGAACTTGCTATTTTTTGTGTGTTTCAAAAACCAAACATTAAGAACCATTTAAATATGTACATTAAAAAGCTATGGACATATGATACAATAAAATCCACTGTACATGTTGTAAGACATGCCAAATGGTACAGTGGCACTGGATTATAAGAACTATAGGAATAAGCAATATGTATTTAAAGTGTAAGAGAATTAACATGTGGCATGCCACGCCCAAAACATACAGCACAATTATGAAATAAAAATGAGTCTTTGTGTACTGTGGGCCAAAAGCACTCTAACAAATACGCACACGAAGTGTGTCCTATGTTCATGTGTGCAGTCAATAATGAACTCAATGAAAGACATATCGGATCATTTGCATTTATCCCAAAAGTAACCTAGTGAATTATCAAACGGCTTACTTGGATTAAAGATTGTACTGGTTCTAAACACCCCGTGAAAGTATTCCATCTGGCTTGCTGTCATTTTAGAAGAAACCAAGATATGTAGGTGATTCCCAATGATCAGCCAATTGACAGACTTTTGGAAATCAAGAGCGCTATTAATGAAATCGTGTTTCGTGATCAATAGGTTGTGCATGTTTTTTTCACTGTTTTCTTGAAAAAGTGTAATATCCACTGAGCTGAAACTTCAACAGGTTAGGTTTTGAACGTTCTTTGGATTTTGCCTGGTGCTATTATTGGAAATGAACAAAATGCATAAAATTTATGTCCAAGTGTACCGTTTGGTGTGGCATGTCTCATACTATTCTCATTGTAGGGTTTTAGAATACTGCATTCCAAACTTTGAGCTTGCTCGACTTCCATTTCGAAGTTAGTTTTGTGCATTAAATTGATAAAATAATGAATACATCAAAACTTGGTTTTTGTGTGTGTGTGTGCATTAAGTACAAAAAAGTCTGATTATAATGCTTTTAGAACTTAACCACACCTGCCAAATGTACTCCCTCGAATAAATTACATTTACATCCTGTAACTTGACCTTGTACAAATTCCTAAGAACACGTTTTCTTTTCTCAATCGCTTTGTGTTGCAGTGCCTCATTGCGGTTAAACAAAGTTGGCACAGATGTTCCAATATGCTATGGAGGCTCTGTCTGTGCACAACTCCCTCGGTGATGAACACACAATTTTAAGAGGGGTCAAGAAATTCCCTTTGGCCCAATGTCAACACTACAAGTTGAATGCCATGCCTAAAGCAATTTTCAGCATGGTTAGTACCGGGATATACCGGACCACAACTCGGCAGACTATTTTTAGCATCAGCAAAAATGTTAGGATTAAACCCTGTCACTCACGTCGACCCCACCTTTCTTGGATGTGAGAGAGAACTTGCAATGGAGGTATATTCTAAGTCAACAGTTTCCCTAGTCTGAGGAGCAGACGTACACATGTGCAGAGCCGCACTACAAACGTCTGATTTATCCGTGCATGTACATTTTATGTGACCCTGTGCTCCAGCCAATTGGAGCCGCCTTTAAGAAGTTGCGACGTCAGTTAGAGCAGAAATTCGGCCTAAGTTGTTGATTGGTCAATAGCTGCCATGTTTGTGTCATACATCATCGGAAGGCGCCTGCTGAATGGTCAGTATCTGGAAAGTCAAGACGCAGTGTTTTGCATAATCTGCACGCAGATCATAGACGCTTGCTGCGCATCTATTCCATAGACTACAGGTTTCCAATCTACAGACTGATACTGCAGCCATCGTTACTGGTGTTCAGCGTAAATTTTAGTACGAGCTTCATTCGCTTTCATCAAATACGGTGTAAGCAAGTACTTACGCGCATCAATCTTAGGAACACCTTCAACTTAACAGCCGGACCCAACCTAATGCCAGCATACTATGGCCACCTGGTTAGTATACAGTATCACAATGCTGATGATGGAATAAGAAGTACAAAAACACCAAGAACCAACTCGGTAGTGCATTATACAGATTAAAAAAAACCACTGAATGTAAACATGATAACCAACAAGTTGTTCATTGAAGGAAGCTCATGGTCATCTTTCCTCGTTTCTTAGTCTGTGCCTGCTCGGCCCAATTCTTTTGGGCTACACATCTCTTACCACTTCTTGAACTCTAGTTCTTTTCTTGTATTACCCGAAGCAATGTCACTTCTCACCATTCTGCAGTGCTTATGGTTTGAATTCAGCAGACACCGGCGTGTCAACCATCGCACCTTGCACCAACCTAGTCCGAAACCCTCACAGGATAGTGCATGCCAAACGCGATACTCGGGTAGTATCGCATGGACGCCACACATGGCTCCAACAACTTCATATTCACAGACAAAACAAACTGCTCAATGCCCGCATTGAAAGATCCTTCATAGACAATCCACCGTTTGGGTTTTGGCTCCAGCAGTGTTGTTTGTTTTTAGTCCGTTTCACCGATGTCCAGAAAGAGAGGTCTCACATCCAGCATTGAGGCTAGCTCCAGGACATGTTTGTGCAGGGTCTTACACTCCAAGATGTCGTGTCCACGGAGATCAGGATGGCTCTGAGGGTAGAAACTATCATCCTACATGAGCGAAAAAGAGGGTTTTTTTTAATTGTTATTTCAAGCAGGTTGGCAGTTTTTTGCCTTCAGCAGTAATTGTCACAATGTAACCCCTTGCAGCAGGCAACCACACACACCACTGTTCAGTGTTTGCCATCAGCTACTGGCTTAAGATAAATTATAGCCTGTGTCCATGAGCAAGGTATTTTATACCAATTGTTCACAATGGACATGTACTTGAGTCTCAGGTACCACACTAAACAAACACTCATCACGACTCTAAAAAAGTCTTGCTAATGACAAAATAACATAAACAATTAGGACGACTGAAACCTTTCTTTGGGAGTTCTGCAATCAAAATTCATGTTTGAAACTACTGACTGAAATCCTACTAAATTCCCTTTTTTCAATCTGCCGACACATGAAGATCCTACCTTGAAGCCTCGATGGTAGCGCAGGGCAGCAAAGCAGAAAATGAAGCGTAGGATGAGTAACCTCAGAAACTCATCGCCGTAGAACTGCATGAAGACGTGGTCTGTCAGGTGGAATCAGCAAAGCAAACAAACAGAAGGTTTTATAAGATGGAATTTTGCGTCGGGGTGATATAAATCAAATTAGGTTTTGCCCTTCACCGAGGTTTTTAAAACACTGTATACTCGGTGTGTTACCTCCCGAGTGAAAGTTGGAAAAATTCACTCGGGTGGGACTCGAACCCACGACCTCCTGCTTTCTAGTGCAGATGTCTTACCACTCGACCACCGAGCTAACGGGATCAGTTGGCCGGTTCGAATCTGATGTACATAGCAGCGGGTACCACATAAACAGAAGGTTTATTAGTTAGTTTCTGCCATTTTCACAATCAGGTCGTCTCCGGATCCTACTTATGTTTATCGATATCACTAGTGTGGGATCTGAAGAGCTGAAAACATTTGAACCTGGGAGATGTATATGGGTACATCAAGTACCCACGTGGGTGCATCAAGTACCCACATGGGTGCATCAAGTACCCACATGGGTGCATCAAGTACCCACATGGGTGCATCAAGTACCCACATGGGTGCATCAAGTACCCACATGGGTACATCAAGTACCCACATGGGTGCATCAAGTACCCACATGGGTGCATCAAGTACCCACATGGGTGCATCAAGTACCCACATGGGTGCATCAAGTACCCACATGGGTGCATCAAGTACCCATCTCTAAACAGAACACATCCAACACACATACTCTTGTTTCGTAACTGTGCGGACAATACACGAGTTGTCCCATGGTACTATGGGGACTGAAGACGCTGTGGGGACAGCAGAAAGTCCCCATAACTCGGTGCTAATTTGCCTAATAATAAAAAACTTCCCCATAACACGGGGATGGCCACCCACACCCTCTGGCAGGACTCGAACCTGCAACCTGCACAATGACCCACAAATCTTGAGTTCAATGCTCTGGACGCTGAAGCCACAAAGCGTTCCACACAAAAAACCTGTCCATTGTCCATCTAAAGCAGAGAATCACTGCTTGTATTTATCCTCACCCACCTATGGTCTTTGACTTGCCGATGCCCGTGGCCACCTCCCCCATCAGCTTGTTGACCATCGCCTGGCAGTTCTCCCACAGTGCGATGGGCACGTCGGCAATGTCACAGATGTAACAGAATGCCACCAGCGGGGAGTGCAGGAACATGGTGAAGAGGTTACCCTTCTGTGTGGTCTGCTCTTGGATGGTGACGGGGAAGGACACCGGGGACATGAGGCAGACTACCGGCTGACCGAATAGGTTGGGGAAATTCTGGCATGGAAAAAAATGAGATGAAAACATCCATATACTGAAATTTCTGGGAATGGATTTTTGAATTCTTTCTCTTGCGAATAGGCACTGTTCTTGTAGTCTGGTTCCCTGACCCTACTTCAGACAAAACAGAGCAATTAATAGAGGCTGGGGAAATGTCAGGTCAGATCAGGGATCTAAACTTGCACCCGTTCACAGATGTGTAACCGATTGCAACCAAAATGTGGACTAACTAAATTTGGTAAATTGGGGGCAGTGTTTGAACAATCGTTTGAAATAGATTTTTTTTTAAATTCACTTTTTTTTTTTAAATGACAGCACACCAGGTGCCATGATTTCACAGGATGCTTGAGACTATTATTCACTTACAGTCAAGTAAGATATTTCATAATAATTTGGTAGTTTTCTTTTTTGATGTTTGCAAATGTTGTATATTGCCTGCATATCTAAGCATTCAGAGCCCAATTTCATAGCTCTGCTAAGCACAGAATTCCGCGCTTACGATCACCATTCTGTGCTAACAGCGCTAGTGAAAACATTCTGTGCTAACCATGTAAGCACGGAATCCTTAGTTACAGGATGTACGCAAACACAGCAGCCACAATTCCTTGCTTACTCTTGAAATACGCTTACCGTAAGTGTGGAATTTTCTGCTACATTAAGCAGGGATTTGTCGCTAGCGGTAAGCAGCGGTAATAAATTGGGCCCAGATCTGTCTCTTGCCTAAAAGCAACTTGTGGTTCACTGATACCCAGCGCTAATTTAATGAGTGAGATTGGTAGCCAACCAAGCTCTGGAATGGCAATCTAGTGGTCAGAGGTTCACATCCAGGATTGATTGTCTGATCTTACCTTGAACGCGTGACTATTAGGGCTGTCAATCACCAGGAATAGGGGTTTCCTTGTGTATGGGTACAGATCACCTGGGTGTATACTGCATGGGAAAATAAAAACTAAAATCAAACATCGGGATTCCACATTCAAAAATGTGACGTGGTATGTCAAAACCAGGCCGAATTTGGCAGAGCTACGAATCGAGAAACAGCTTGAAAATGACATGGGGGGGATTTTTAGTGATTTTGAGATTTCTTGAAATTTGTGATGCTATTTATGTTCAAAATGAAGCAAATAAAAGATATCTTTTTGGGACTTGTTAAAAAATGTTGAAAATGTTCTGTACAAGTTTCAAACTGAAATTTCATCGACAAAGCATTTTCAAAAACACTTTCAGAGAGGCATATCATTTCACAAAATGACACTTTGTTCACGACTTTGTTCTGAAAAAAAAAAACAACCGCAAATTAACGTGACATTTTGAACAGTCCAATTTCAAAAATTAGCAACTTCATTTTGGAATATCTAAATTCAAAATTCAAAGCGACGTTTGAAAGAGCAAGATTTCTTTTTACGAATACAATGTATTGCAATAATTCAAAATTGACTTCTTGCCCACAATTGACTGATTTTGACATACCATGTCACACAATGTGACTACTGTACCACTTCCCAACACTGCACCAAATATAAAAATGTTGGCAAAAAAATCTGACCAATCAGGGTGGCGTGAAATAGCCAAAGACTTTCCACAGCATTGTACTAAACACCAGCAACTATTTATTATTTCCAGAAGCACATTTGTTATTGAAGCAGGATTTGGGGACTGTCAAAACTGTTGAGATGAGAAAACACGACGCCAATTTGAAATTCTTTGCTTTTCACATCAAGCACATAACAAATAAACGCGAGTATCAAAACAGGTATAAAACTAGGATGTCCAAAAAATCAAACTAATGTCATTACGCACATTTTATACGAAAATAATTCATGGATGAGATTGTCAATTTCAAAAAAAGTCTGAAAACTGGATGAAAGGTCTGAAAGATGCATTTCTTTCCATACCGATAATGTCCTTCTCTCAGATTAAAAAGTCTGAATTCAGACAAAAGTCTGGAAATCTCATTTTCACATCAACCAATTTTTGATTGACATACCAATGTGTCTCCTTGAGCATATTTGACCTCTTGATGACCGGCTGGTCGTTGCCCTCCCTCTTATTATTGGTGGCCACGCCCCCTGAGTCAAAGGCTGCATCTTCTCCCTTGCCCAGCCCCGCTGATCCATCGGCAGAGAGATACAGTAGCAGGGCAGCGTTGACTGGAAGCTCCTGGTTGGAAGAATCAAAACAGGAAAGGAACAAAAAAAATATTAAAAAGAACTCCAGGGTTTGAAGGTTTTTACAAAGTTGTAAAAAATAAAAAAAATATAAAAATAAAAAATAAAAAAATAAATTTGAAAAAAAATAAATAAATAAATAAATAAATACAAAAATTTCATCTTCCCGACAAAAATTCCATCTCATACAAAGTTTGGATGCGGTACCAACTGCTACATCAGACTCAAACCGGTCAGTTGCCTACAACCTGGAAAAGAATCGCAGCAATGTGGGATTTTTTTGCCTTTAGTTTTTTGCAAGAGCAGTTATGAAGGAAAGGTTTACATTTACAAGGATGGTTTACGAAAGCGTGCACCATGATGATGTAACATTATTCGCTGCAGGGTTCTAGAGGAAAAGAAAAATCTGGGTCAACATTTTTTTGCTGGCGAGCCATGTCTGTCAGGAGGTAACTACAAATGGAACACAAACTGTTCAAAAACATCAAGTTAGCCCAGTTTTCCTCGGATCCAGAAGAACTTTAGTTTCACGTGCTGACTGACTGTGCTGATTTCCCCTCAAATCTCCCCTTCAGAAGTTCAGTGCTACTCCAAAGGAAACATATCAAAACAAAAGCCAACCGAGCGATTATTCAAAAACTAATTCCAGTTGGCAAGCCAGTTTGCATCTACATGATGACCTACTTTCAGCGCGGAAATTGAAAAAAACAAAAGTACACGTCTTCTCCGCCGAAATGAGTTGCAAATTGGGTTTGTATCCTCGATCTAAATCCAACAGGCTGTTGGCACTTTGGTTGACTCTCCTTTTATAGCCCCTTTACAAATTTGTCGAGCGAAGCCCGCCAGTACATGCGGCACCTCAACCCCCTTGGGAATCGGTGTTCTCTAATTTCATCAAAACACGACAGCCTGCGCTGTCCCATGTGTCTTTTGGAGGAAACAATTCTTATAGGAGTGAAACAACTGGTGCTACAAATGCCCGGGGTCATTGTCAAGAACCGCGGTACTCCGGAAATACAGAACAAACAAATTTGCAAGAACCGTGTGAGTGTGCTGGAGGGATCTCGCTCTCTTGGCAAAGCTAGAACCTTGTTAGGCTCGAAGTGGAAAGGTGAATGGCCCACATGGAATTTAACACAGTTTTGGGTTTTTTGGTGTTTTTTTTTCTAAATTTTATTTAAAGGGAAAATACAACATTTGCAAAAATCAAAAAACAAAACCACCAAATTATTAAGAAATACATGTACCTTACTGGACTGTTAGTGAATGACAGTCTAAAGCATCCTGTAAAATCATGGCACCTGGTGTGCTGTCATATTCAAGAAAAGTGGCATTTTTCTATCAATTCCCAACCCCGGTCGGCAGACTTTTTTTTCCAATACTGCCCCAAATTCACCGTATTTAGTTAGTCCAATCCATCACACACCTATGAACAGGGAAAAGCCAGCTAGGCTGGTTCCCTGACCTTACAATTTCCGACGTCTATAGATTGCTTTTTCATCTTATGTGGGGTCAGGAAACCAGACTGCAGGAACAGATTGTTTTTCTTGGTTTTTCCAGCATCTATGAACACAAACCTTCAAACAAGTCAGAGTAACAAATTTGCTTTGAAATACTAACCCCCCAAATCCATCCATTTCTGAAAATTACAGCAAAAGCAAATGTTGTATATTCCCTTCAACTTGATGGCTCAGCTTCGTAGATGTTGAAATCTGGACACATAAAGTGCTCGGACAAAAAATGAAATAGCACAACCCATCTCTTGCTGTAAGATGCTGAGTGTCAAATTCTCTTTGGATGCATTACAGGAATTAAACTTGACTGAGCAGTTTTGTTTTGACAAATATGGTCATTGGTAGGAAAATGTCGGAAGTCAGACATGAATTACGCCCTTTGACTTGGCATTCCAGCAGTTCTCATGACATATGTCTTATTTTTTTAAAAATGTCAAGAACACATCAATGTGTACGAATTTACATTTTTTCAAACTATTTACATAAACATATGCATACAGTGTAATTCACCCTACTGCTTGCCATACTGTACATTTGTAATAACGAACATTTTTGTGAAATAATAATAATATGAAATGTACTCCACACTCCAACAAATTTGTACAAGTACATTGTAGAGTGAGAGTCTCATTGAAAATGTGCAAGTTGTCTGGTCTGGCTTTAATAAGGAAACCTCTTCTAATCATGCCATGCTTCTCATCTTCTGCGTCTGTGAGCCAATTCTAATTTGACAATAGACACGCTGCACGCCCACAAAGCAAAGATTACTTCTCGTCTGATTAATCTATGTGCCTACGCTAGCCAAAAAGACGTGTGCTTTTTGTACTTATTCCATTCAACACAGAAGTATAAATTATAATACAAATTGAAGACCTTGGAATTGTCAGCTCGCATCAAGAATGACAGTGATAGACAATTCGCATATGTACATACATACTGAAATTTGTATCCTTGTGGAGACATTTCTTTGTTCTCGTGTAGTCAAGTTTTCAAGTTTGAAAGTGTAGTTTCAAAGTATACAATCTTTTGTTCCCTATTGTGTGCATGTCTCCAGAGGGCACAGTGTATCAGATCATGTACACTGCAGCCATTTTGAGCTGTGTGCTTTTGTTCAGCAGGTATACGCATGGGTAGACCTCACATTCATTCTTAATGAATTAACATAAAAACCCACACCTTAAATATGGCTTCTAAATGCAATCAATCTATACTGCTTGCAGTTTATTTTCCTGAAGACAATAATGCTCATTTTCTGTGGCTTTATTCACTGACAACAGATCGTGCCCCAAATTTCATTTGGGCAATTCCACGGTTACTCACGTTACATTTTTGATGTACTTTTGAGTTTCCTTGGGCTGTAATTACCTTACTGAAAAGGTTTAATAACTGTTATCCCCATGGTAGATAGAGCAGAGCTAGACCTACCTAAGCACCAAAGATGACATCCAGAAAAATGTGTTATGTATGATAAACAAGACGCACAAAATCGGTTACTCACGTTACGAAAATGTAACGTGAGTAACCGTGGAATTGCCCATTTGCATTTTTTTCAACTGCTACAGCGTAATGGCTAGCGCCAATCACCGGCCAAATGCATTCCTCAGGGGTGCTGGCTACCGAACAGCTTCTTGGCAAAATTGACTCGTCAGTGAGGAAATCAAATGTCTGAATAAAAGACAACAATTTCCCTGGGACACTCTGCTAGAAACCACAATTGACATGTGCTCTTTGCACTTAGACAAAATTAGAATAAATAAAAGAGGACGACTGATATATCGACTCTTATTCTGATTAAACTCTCTTTTAGGAGTAGAGCAGCAAGTTTTTAAAATTCTAATTAGGTTAATGCTGTGTCCAAAATGGGCTTCTAGAGCTACAGCTAAGACTATTGTCAGCTTGTTGCCATGTAAGTGTATTAATGGGGGGAAGACCCAAGCCATGTCCGCATTGGACTTTTTTTTGGTAAAACTAACAGAGACTGTTATCAACTTAACCATATTAAGTCTAGTGTGAACAGCCGTTAAACTTCCAAAACTGTCAAGTGTCGACAGTTGATTGCAAGTTTTACAGTCTGCAGTGGTTTACAGAGCCAACTGGGCCGCAGAAGAGTTACACTGCTAGTTCTACTTAAGGAATGACTTTTCGCGGGCCGAAATTAATCCAAGTGAGGATGGTAGAATAACCACAATGGAACGTTAACAATCACTCGCGGTAACTTTTTGCAAAATGAAGTCCAATGCGAATGCGGATCTCCAGACAAGAGATTTTGAGCAGATTAGTTTGGGCCAATATGTCTACCAATGTAATAGGAACATCTTTCTGGAATTCAATAATCATTATCTGAACCAAATCTAAAATAGCATTTTCTTTACCTTGAATCCAGCTGACAAGAAGGTGTAGAACTGGCTGAAGGTGGGTTTGTAGAGGAGATACTTGTGGGGGTTGTCCCGCTTCAGGGGTTTGCTGTTGTTGTCCTGAGAGGTCAAGGTCAAGATAGTAGAGACATTGTTAATGATGGAGGAGAAACCTTACTTGGAACAAAGATGGGACTTGTATATAATATTGGATGGCTTTGAGGTGGTTACAAGTATATATGGACTGTTAGTGCGAGTGCAATAATATTCTTGTATCCCCTCCAATATTATTATGATTATTTATATCAGGCTGACTTGATCTGAAAGAAATTTCATGAGGCCTTCTTGTAATAATCACCCTCTACTTTCCTCACTTCAACATTAACATTGACTTCGACAAAACACCCACTAGCGAAAGCTTTTCCAGCATCTCAAAATCCATCAGTAGATTCTTCTCGGCCAGACACGCTTGCAGAATTTTTTACTGGTATCTTGGTTGTTTTCTAGGTATTTTCAGCATTTTCAGTTCTCTTTCTTTGAATTATTCTTCGCTCACTGACATGACCGAAGCGAATTTCACGCCACTTGGAGTTGCAATTTTTGTTGACAAAAAGTGTGTACATACCCTGCGCCCACACCGCGTGCTGCGCTCTGTTGACTGGCTGCCAACCGTGAGCTTCTACGCTCTTGACTTGAATGGGAACCAGTGAAATGTGTTAAAATGCCCAGATAACTACAATATCAAAAATAATATTGCAGTGATCCGGGTACTTTTTTCCCAAGGCATACAATACGCTGATTTATTTTCAACACTTGGAAGCCTGATATAAACAATAATTAAAGATACTGTACTGTCAGAAAACAATGACTACACTGATCATAACTCCCAAGACGTTGTTGCCAGTTATCTTCCTGAATCCTTCAAAATCCACCCATTGTAAAGAAACGGAAGGGTACACTTTGTGCCTGGACTCCATTTTCATAAATCTGCCCCAAAAGGCTTCAAAAACCTCCCGTTGGATTTTGAAAGATCTCGGAGTTTAAGATGACTGCACTAAAAATAGGGACCTAGTGTCCGTCTTGGTCTCTGGACAGGTCTGCTTACGTTATGATGCGGGGGCGAAGTGATGTGTTCACTAGACGTTGGTTCTCTCTCCAATGTCTGTAGCATTCGGTACATGTCCAGGGTCAACTCACTGAATTTTACCTGTCCAAGGCCAAAAAATAAAAAATCACATGAATTTTTCAAGTGTGAATTTTGCAATGACCAATGACTAAGACGTTGTTTGAAAAAGCTCTAACAACATAAACACAGTGAGCCTTAGTCAGAAATTATAATGTGGACTAAACACTTTCGCTTGTATACATATGTTAAAAGTATGGTATCGTACCAATGTTATAAACAATTTGGAAAGAGGCTGAAATCAGGCAATAGACCTTTATCATACTGCCACCATTTCAGTCATGTTCCCTGTATCCAATAAAAGTACTGAACGATAATGTTTTTGTGCAAAAAGGAACCAGACTATTTTTCCTTCCAGCCTCGCTTTGGTTACGTTGATTTGAATGGGAAAAAATCAAGATGGCCACAGCACGATAATGGTCTATTGGAGGAATGGCATCCCTGCTTGGTAGGCTGAAGCGGCAATGTACAATGTAGTTGTAAGCTCTTTTATGATTATCTTTATATTTTGACAATTTTAAGTACACTTACTTGTGACCTGTTCTGTCAAAATCAGACTTTTCTGGGCATAAGGTCGAAAATGATATTTTTACATATTGTTAATATATGTTCTTTTTCCTTTTAATAGGTGGTTTAATTTTTGAAACCGGTCATTCCTGGGCAGAGTTATGCTATTTTGAAGTTCATTTTGTCGAAAAGTAGAAAACAGAGAAAATGGCCACGAACGTCACAAAACAGTTATTTCTTTAACTGATATACCTTATCAAAATCATCAAAAATAGTATATGTAGAGTTCAAATTAGGGTTTCAAACTTTTATAATATATTTTAGACATGTTCAGGATTACAAATATGCAAAAATTTGAAAATCAATAAAAATCACCCCCACAGCGTTTTTTGGCCCTATCTCAATTTCAACCTCTGCCCAGAAGTGTCTACTTTTGACAGAACAGGTCACACTTGTGGAAAGCAATCCCAGTCATTTGTTAGTGACAATGCGAAAATGTACTCAATTTCAACTAGCACTGAACTGCACAATTGCCTGAAATTGATAAAACGCACTCGCTGAGTGATTTTGCTCCAGACCACATCTTAAAACCTCCTTTCTTTCCTAGTCTAAACAAATAAAAGCTAATAAATACATCCATTACTGTAGCTGGCACTTCAGAACATCATGAATCACATTTTACTTTTAATATTTACTGGAATCTTGCAGACGAATGGAAAATTCAGGACAGTAAATGATTTGTACATTGCCTTCCTATCTTCATGCATTAGCAATGAGCCTATCGCATGTACACACCTGCTGTTGGCAGTTGCCCACGATGAGCGCTTCCTGTAATGTGAGGTAGACAGGTGAGCCCGTGTCCAGACCGGGCAAGACACCCGGGGCCAGTCTGTAGGTCAGCGTCACCGCTCGCGAGTTGGTGTCTAAGACTGTGATGATGTCATCTGCCTGAAAAGAAAAAATAAAAGAATGTTGGAATGGCATTACAATAACATCAAGTGAAAATGTTTGTTTTTGTAGCATGGGATTGAAGAACATGAAGAAGAAGAAGAAAAGAAAAAAAAGAAGAAAAAAAAAAAAAGAAGAAGAAGAGGAAGAAGAAGAAGAAGAAGAAGAAAAAAAAGGGACAAAAATCAGAAGAAAAACAAGGGCTTTTCTGCGCAAGTTGCGGAAAAGCCAATAAAATATTTTGGGTGAACAAATTAGATAGATACAAAAAAGTTCAGAAACCAATAATATTAATACAACTCCTTTATCCTAAATCAGAAAAGGAAATATCTGCAGGCAAAAAAAGAAAATTGATACGGTTCTCCATATCCAGTCTTGGTGTTAAAAGCATTAATGAATTCGATATTTGGTGAAGTCAGGCGTAAGGAATGCCTCAAACGAACACGCAAGGAGGGAAAGACGATAACCCAGTTAGTCAAACGTCTCCCCTGGCCACCTTTTTTATTTCACAAGAGGGGACAATATTTTCAATTTGACGCCGAGGGAATTTATCTAACCTAGGGCAAAATATTATTTGATTGAAACGTGTGTTTGTCAGTAAACGGATCTGACTCTGGTAGCAAACAAATTATGAGGTGAGACAAATCGCTGGGAATGAGGATATGAGGAACGATATCGAATTTCCAGAAAGTGAAGATATTGGCACTTGTCCAAGTGGGGAAATCAAATGTTGTTGGCAACCAGTACAAGATGCTAAATAAGTAAGAATACGGGGTGAGTAAAAAAACAACGAAACCCAAATGTCGGGACTATTGTTTTAGTGAAGTTCTTCATGTAGCACTTTGAAAATCTAGGATATGAAAGCCCAATCCATAAGCTTTCTTTCAGTACAAGAATCATTCAAATCACTCATGAACTTTTCAAGTTATGTAATTTTAAACATGGCAAAGTACTCATACTCATACTAGTACTCATGACAAAGTACTTGTACCCATACTAATACTCAAGGCAAAGTATTCATACTCATGGAAATGTACTTGACTACATTACTGACATGTATGAACTGTAAGCAAAACTCGACTGAGAACCAGTATACAATAGACCATTATCATGTTGCCACCATCTGATTTTTTCCCATTTAAATTAACGTTACCAAAGCGAGGGTGGAAGGAAAAATAATCTGGTTCCTTTTTGCACAAAAAACACTATCATTGAGTTCTGTTATTGGATACAGAGAACATGACTGAAATGGTGACAGCATGGTAAAGGTCTATACTGGTGACCTGTTTCTGTTTTAAAAACACATATTTTCTTAGCTCAGGAACTTGCCAATCACCTGAAGACATCAACTACACATACATGACACACAATTCATCACTTTATTGAAGCTCCAACTACTTGCGCACTTGCATACATAAAAAAAAAATCCCCAGCCGCAGTTTCGTCTGCTAAAGACATGCAACACGGAGGAAATTGTTCCCTGCGGTTATCCATTTAAGCAACAGAGAACTGGAAGCCAGTTTAGCCGCAGCCCAAGGGCGTGTTTGGCAAATCTATCAGCCAGACACGCTGCACATGTTTATAATACTATGCGCTCGCACAACTTTGGTAGTCACAGTCAGCAACAAATATCCAAAGATGAAACAAGATGAGTAAAAAAACAAGATGAGTAAAAAAACAAAAAACACACACAGTATCTAGTGCTCTGTCTGGCTCATTCCTGCTCCCCTGCGACCCGATCAATAGACCTTTTCCACTCCTTCCGAAGGTCATTTTCAGCTTAGTCTAAAAAGAAAGGGCACAGAGAAATCTGCGGCGGATGTGTAAGGACACGACGGATCGATCCATGACTTCCCTGCTGCACTCCGGGTTGGAGTGGAAGGGGAACCGTTCGCTGCCGGTACCCCGTCGGAAAGCCATAGTCTTGCCGACGGTGGACAACATGAGTGCTTGAATAATCGGCACAGGATCAGCCGGAATACATTGACAAACATGATACGTTGCGGGGGGGGGGGGGCATGTTTTCTTTAAAGGGTGTAAGGGTAGCAAAGGTCTAATGCTGAATATGAACTTCTATGTGAAAATGAGTCACTTTAATGTCACTAGTCTGTATTTTTACAATTTAATTGCTGTGCCTGATTGAGTCTTGAAGGAAATGAGATTTAAGCATGTAGATAGCTTTCACTTGGAACGTTATTGATTGTGTGGACCTAAGAAGTTGTGGTTTGATTCTAAAAGATAAATATTTTAAAAAAAACTTCATGGAGGGATGCACAAGATTTGGGGAAAAAAATTTAAAAATTGGAAATAAGTTTACTCATTCTTTATGAAATGGGCGACTAATACTAAATTAACCTTCAACAAATGGATGAAAAAACATGTACCAAACTCAGATCAACTATTTTTTAATTAAATGCCGTTTTCAAAACTTGCTATCAAAAGTACACATGTATTTTTTCTTAAATGCCAATTTCAAAACTTGCTACCAAAAGTACAATGGCATGAAAAAAGGTATTCGGCCCAAAGAAGAAATACACAACCCTTCTACATGTATGCGCCGTTACATTATTCCCCCCAATCGCTGAAGGCTAAAGTTTGTTGACATGTTCCTTTGTCATATGAGCAGGACCATTCATGCTTGTAGTTGTTGACGATACACACGCTGTCTTTACGAGGAACGAAGAAAAAACCACGAACCAATCTTGTCTACGTGTAGCTCACATTGAACCCACGCACAATCTTCCACAATGCCATTAATTTTTTAATTCAACTTTGAATGTAAAGCTTCATAAATGTGCCTGTTTACACCACACATTTACTGTACTCTGGTAGACAAAACCACACAAAGACTTCTGCCATGAGCGCGCAGACACGTGCGTATCGACTTTGTGCACTGATGTCCATACCTCCATTAGACACAATTAGAGTCTTGTATTGATTAAAGAAAGTGCACGGTATTGACTGCTAAGAGGGCAATTTAATACCGAGAGAAGCAGGGACTGCTCAACCGATAATAATCATATGGATTGAAACGGTGGTATTTGTGAAAAACCCTCTGAAAATGGCCTTAGACGGTGGCAAATGTGGCTGGACATTTAAGAAGTAATTCACTTGTTGAATTAAATTACTTACTTGTACATTCATGCACAGGTGAAAATGTAATTTATGCGGGGATGCATTCCGGTTTAAAATAAAACAAAAACAAAAAATGTAAGAAGTTTATGACAAATCCTCCCCTCAGTATGTATTTCCCGCCCCCCTTTTTTTTTCTTCTATCAACCTAGGTTGACTCTGTAAATGGGAAGTTATGTTCATTTCACATTCACAGTCTGTAAATTAAAAAAACACAGGCTTCTCAGTTGGTCACTATGCGTAAGGTCTGTGCACAGAAGTCTTCTGTCGGGTTAAGGTTGGCGTGGTGGCCCTTTCCTCACCTTCTACTGCTGTGATCCAGATTCGAATCCCAGAATGGATCGGCTTTTACGCCCATACCTGTTTTTCTGGGCTTTCCCGGAATACCATTCCAGATTTTTCCTCCCACTGATTAAAGTGTAATTTCTTTCCTATCCTTCTACCATTGGCCCCATTAGAAATAAGCTGAAATGCTTTTGTGGCCTATGCCAGCCAAATGCTGCATTTATAAATAATAACAAAAATATTTTTTGTTTTCATTCTTTGCTTTTCTCATCTCACCTCAGTAAAAGCCTCGATTTCTCCCAGCACCAAGGCCCATTCCATCTGATCCTCCGAGTCATAGTGGCCTTTGTACTCGTCCACATTCTTGCTCAGTTCCTGCTCAAAACAGGAAGGAAAGAAACACCAAAAACCAAAATTTCAATTTCACGCAATAATTAAGGAGATTCTTACTGGATTTACACACGTTGTGCATCTGTCTGCTTCGGGCAAAAGCAATCAGGGTTGTCATTAACTTTCTCGATGCTACTAGATTGCGTCGTGTAAGCAATTACATATGCGCATAGGTGACCAAGTGATCTGCAGCAATCTGAACACAGTGCACGGGCAATTTCAGATGCACAAAAAACCCGTCATTTTGGACTTTATATCAATTGTCATACACAGGAAATGTACGTTTTATACCGAGGTGCTTGCAGAATTGCTCGTCCGCGCGATGAACCTGCACGCCGGACTACAGTGTCTGATTTCCATCACGGCTGGTTTGAAACAAATTAGCAACGCCGCCGGGAATCTGTTTTCACTGTAAACAATTCGGAAGTGATCGGAGATTCTGCAAGTGTCGCTGCGAAAGGGAACACGTAACGGGAGAAAAATTGCCGGCAGAAAATTTCAGAAATAAAATACCGAGTGGCGGAGAGAAGACATGAAAGAATGCACAGGGCAACAAGTTCCCACGCCTGCCTAAATACTTCAGAATTGAATGACAAGAAGGAAAAATAACAGGCTTTAGCTTCAGATAAATTTGTTTCAAACCGTCATAAAAAAAGGTGACTGGATATTGAAATTGGCAAATTCAAAATCTCTGTTTGAAGATTGGTAAAAACCTTCTCTTGTCTCCAGTGTTTCCCCTACCCATTCAAACGTGAGGCGGCCCACCTCATTACTTTCAGTGACCACCTCGCTCAATTTTTGCCAATATCACCACCTCGCTGTGAAGATTTGCAATTTATAAAGGAAATACTAATTGAAAAATTTTCATTTTGTGTAATTTATGAGGGCTTTCCTTGACACTTACAGGAGGCCTATGTATCAAGAACTCAATGTAGATGGAATCATCGCGCATTTTTGTGAGCACTGCATTCTTTTCAGTTTGCAGACTGCGTAAATTTTGTTTCAATCATCAATTTGAATTTTTACCACCTCGCTCAGTTCATTACGTGTAGCCAGGGGAAACACTGCTTGTCTCATAAGTACATGTACCATGACCGGCTCCCACCCAAAAGGTCAAACAATCTTCGCAATATGAACACTCTGTCTGTCCCCAGATGTCGATCTAACCGATACAAGAATAGAGCAATTCCATTTTTAACCTATCTTCTAAAAATAACTAAGCATTATGCTTATTCTGGTTTTAATAGTTTTGACAATTTATCTTCTAGCCACACATATGCTAATTTGACTTATTCATTTCCGTTATTTATTTGTTTAATAATCAATCATTTGTAAATGTTAAATTTGTTTTCAGTTACCATATTTCTTTTAGAATATTTCTTTATGTTCTTTGATTTTTTTTATTTTTTTTTATTTAATCTTCCTAATGGTATTTTCCTAATGCTAATGTTTTAACCTCTGTCTAAATTTGTAATATTTTTAATGTAGACCTGCCGACAATTCATTTAAAAATTTCAGATATAAGCTAGTCAGCTACCTCCAAAAAAAAAAAAAAACAAGCACGTACATGCAGCTCCAGATGGGTGGCCCATTTAATTTCTCCCGATCAGCACACGATCACTTCAACAGGCACATGCAGTTTCTGACAAGCATGTACTATCTCCGACCAGCGCGAGCTATTTTATTATAGGTTGGTACGGTACATGTAAAAACTTGATCGGCATGTTTTGGTTATATTTAAAAAAATTATTTGAATCCAAATTTGAATAATCAAATTCTTAATTATTGTAAACAGCACAACTCTGGACATCAACTGAAAAAAGTAGACGGTGAATCAGTTTCCAAACAATAGACCATTATCGTGTTGCAGCCATTAGGATTTTTCCCATTCAAATCAACATTAACCAAAGCGAGGCTGGCAGGAAAAATAGTCTGGTTCCTTTTTGCACAAACAAACATTATCATTCGGTACTGTTATTGGATACAGGGAACATGACTTAAATGGTGGCAGCATAATAAAGGTCTATACCACAGCATGACATTTTGATAGGTACCGGTAAATCCGTTCTTGCTAAGCAGATTACTTTGTTTGTGCTTAGCAGCCCAAGTTACTCTCACCTTAGTTAGTTCCTTGACGTGGTCAAGCTTCCTCAGCAGTAAGCACACAACGATGAGTCTGGCGTAGTAGCGCAACTTTTTGACCATCAACTCAGGCCTGCATATATAGAGAGCCAGTAAAGAGACGATTTATAAGATTTATACCGGTAATTCATTCAAGACAACAGTAATGATAAAGAGTGATGCCACATTATGACATGTTCATGATGAAAGTCAAGAGAAAGGAATCGGTATACTGTACATAATTTTCTGAAACACAAAAAACAGTGCCCAAGGGCGGACAATGGGGGGGGGGGGGGGGGCAATGGGGCCCATGCCCCTCCCACCAAGTCAAACTCAATTTTTTTAAGTGACGTCACAATAGAGGCAGGCACTGCGTACACCACTATCTTTTCCTCAAAAAAAAAAATTGCTCAAAGTGGTCAGAAATTGCCTCAGATCGCACCACAGAGCATCTAGAATTGGTAACTGCTAAAAAGGACTGCATGGCAAACTGAATGTCATTCTATTTTAAAAACAGATCTGTAAATAGGAACCACCCTTGGAACTTGAGAAATGTGGCCACTACGCACGGGTGGCCACTACGCACGGGTGGCCACTACGCACGGGTGGCCACTACGCACGGGTGGCCACTACGCACGGGTGGCCACTACGCACGGGTGGCCACTATGCACTGATGGCCACTATGCACGGATGGCCACTATGCACGGGTGGCCACTATGCACGGATGGCCACTATGCACGGATGGCCACTATGCACGGATGGCCACCGTACACTGATGGCCACTATGCACGGATGGCCACTATGCACAGATGGCCACTATGCACGGATGGCCACTATGCACGGATGGCCACTATGCACGGATGGCCACTATGCACTGATGGCCACTATGCACTGATGGCCACTATGCACGGGTGGCCATGCACTATATGCCCATGTTTTTGTGTTTGTCCAGAGCCAATCACAACCTGGCCAGATAGCTACAGGACGTGGATATACATGTACATGTATTTGAATTATACGGAATTAGCGAACATGGCTGCAATAGCAGATTTGACCACAGAATAAATGTACATGAGTACATGTGCACCTTCAACTACTCTCAAAACGTGCAAAGCAGTTACGGTTTAATAATTTTAGAGGAAACAAAACCAACAATTTAGTATCATACATATAATTCAATTCACATAAAATACAAAATAGATACCGAAAGTTATTTTGATATAAATTTGATATGACAAAACTCGACTGTATGGCCTTCTAATCCAGAGGGTCAATCCACCTAGCTCAACCATAGAGCAAGGACCTAGCTCTATAGCTCAACAGACTTCCAGCGTTCTCCTGAAGCTTGCAACCAAACCCTGCTTGCCGTCGTAGCTCCCGTCCCCTCAAGGGGACTAGTTTGGAGCAGCGTTTCCGGCAAACTGGTCAATATTTGCCTAGCGCACTCCTCCAGGTGTACTTGTTTGGGAAATTTGAATAAGAGGGACAGTCTAGGAGCTGCGCTCCTCAAGACGCAGGCTGTATGGATTATGAAAGCGAGTAATGAAAAGAGGGGAATAAAGGTGACTGGCGGAGAAAATGCTCATGAATGGCGAGTTGAATGTTTGTGTATGAGGTTGTTGAACTTCAAAATGTCCATCATTGAAAGGCAGTACATTTGTAGATGTAGGAACATTTTCAATTAACCGGTAATGTACCAACATGCACCAATTTAACGATAATATTCTTGCTCAACGTGAATCTTCTAGGAGTGGTACCATATACCCTGGGAATTATTCCGCCTGAAATTGTATCATTCGGAAGACAGCAATCACAAAAGGTGGTTTACGAAAATGTGCTCGTTGGAAAAGTTTTTTACATGCATTAGCAACTGAAGATCTAAGAGACCCTCAAAATTGTGCTTACGTTTTATCAGTTTTCTCAAAATGTATGGGTTTCGACTGAACTGAGATTTCAAGAATTTAGTATTTATGTACCCTTCTGAAGATTTTGAACGATTTTCTTACTTCAAATAAAAAAACTGCATCACAAAGCAAATTATGCTCTCTTGTACCTTTAACACTGTTAAAAGTGCCCTAAATGTTTTTGTTGCTAATATTTGCAACAAAAACGTTTCGAGGGAGTGTGGCCTAGTGGTAAGGGTTCGTGACTCACGATCAGAGGGTCAGGGGTTCCAATCCAGCTGCTGGCTAATTGTGTGTCCTTGGGCAAGCCACTTCACCCCACTTGCCTCTCTCCACCCAGGAGTATAAATGGGTACCGGCATTAGCTGGGGGAGTAACCTGCGATGGAGTGGCATCCCATCCAGGGGAATAGAAATATTCTCAGTCGTTTCATGCCACTGAAACCAGAGATAAACGCCGGCCTGACGGGCCATATTTGCTCCTGACAGACTTTACTTAATGCAACATGCATATATGTATGTATGCGTACATGCCTCTTTTCATATCACTACATGTAATGTAATTAGATTTACATGTATGCATGCGGTCATTATGGAAAAGCAAACCAACTACGGACTTAATTTCCGGCAGCAATCTTAATGCACATTCCTGATGAGCTGCAATCGAACTTCATTAACATACCCCAGCACTAATCCCTTCCACACACTATCTTTTTTTCTTTCTTTCAGTTTATCTGCTTTTCATCACGTCCCATTCTGCCCCATCATCTATCCCCGGACAACAGAACCTTTTTACTAAATTTGATTTCACACATTAACGTCATACCAGCAGACGACCCAATAAAATCCATACCCATTAAGCTTAAAGACAGGGGGCTAGCCCGCGCCAGTGCCACTGCACTGCAAACGGCAGCCTAGCCACAATCCCGACGAGGAAATAGAACACGGGTGTAGTCTGTGAGACGAGAAGACGTGCTTCTCCCCGGTCAGAGCCGGTGAGCGTAAAGGGAGACTCGCGTCAATCTGATCCCGTCCACTATTGACTCTCGGAAATATGATCGGAATGAACTTCTTTTCTTGCACGCCTTTCCAAATTGACAGAGGAAATTTATGAAGTCAGGTGCGGGGAGTGTTTGACGAATAATTGGGACGATAAAATGGAACTGTCGACAGCATGCATGCTGAGAAAACAACTCACTCAAGGGTAATTTTTTTTATAGGGGGAGGGGGTTTGAATGTGCCAATTATCGTAGCAATGGGAGGTGTCTCATTGCAAACAATGGTTGGTAACTCATACAAAATTTCATTTCTGGTTCCCAAAAGTGGTTTGCTCTCTGCCATAATAAGGGCATTGTTGTATTGAAGTACGTACCTGGGGCTGTTAGTTCCTGAAAACTTTCATTTGTTTAAGCTGGATAATGTAAGCAGATTTGCTGGGAGTATGCTATTCTAGCGAGAGAGTTTTAGTGAACGATTTAATGGTGGCAGGGTACTGCACATTGTATTTCTCTTCAGTAGGCTGTGATCAATAACATCTGGGCCTGCAGAGAGGGACAAGGGTTACACTATGGCATTTCTCGAGTTTCCTGTAAGTTAGCCAGCACATTGAGCTTATATTGATCCTCCTGTGGAAACCTCAACCCATCATTCATGCTAGTGTGTCACTAAGCAGGATACTTTACTACGATTTGCTTAACCATGAAGGCAGTATGTATTGTTATAAACATAGCCATCCTGGGAGAGTTGATGCAAAGTAAAAAAAAAAGCCAAATTTATTTCGCAATAAGACTAGATGCTGAACACGAACAAGACTCCCAAAAATCAAAATTGGAATTCATAGACCCTACGATTGCCTACATGTACATGTACGTGTCAAATGCAAATGAATAAATACGAAGATCGCGTGACCTATAATCTAAGGAGCAGGTGCATCTGATCTGAATAATTTACAACAGCGCTGCTGTCCGTAGTCACATGATTGATGCGGTCATTCTGGATATATGCAAACGGAGGACGATTTCTCTCTTCTCTCAACTGCACCTGTCTCCGTCGCTGTCTTCAACCCTCGCACATCCTTGACTTGAAGATGGCATCTTTAACCTGTGGTGGATTAACGTATCATCTTTCCTGGATCTTTACGCACGATGAAACCATCTGGTCTGAAAATCCCATGATCCCTCGAGACCTTCCTCTTAGTAATTTTTTTTTTTTTTCTCAAAGTAAAGTAAACTGAGAGAGTTCACGTACATAGATTTGGTTAGATGTACATGTAGTTGGTAACACAAATTCTGCTTAAAAAGAAGACAAAGTGTTGTTGATTGTTGCTTTTGTTGGCAGGAACAACGTGTATGACCTATGTTAGGCATGAAAGAATCATTTTTTGACATAAGGTACCGGTACAATGTTGTTCTCATTATGACAGAGATGAGTGAACAAAATTAATTACTTTTAATTGTAATGGCTAAAACAACATGTATATGCACACATTTTTATTAAGCATCTAGGCGTGTATGACTAGTACAGCTAGTCAACTGGTCACCAACGCTAAAAGGCATTGAGGCCATTCAGAATAGTCAATGTTAGAAAATTTCGAAATTTATTCAAAATTGTGGGTGGGTGGGTCGAAGGAAATATCTGAAAATCGAAAAATAGTTTTCAATTAAAGTAATAGAAACAAATATTACAAAGAGAAGGAAAAAAAAAATTAAAATATCCAGCGGTCTCTTCGAGATCGTCTGTCATGTCTGTCATTGGACACAGCAAAAGCTAATCATAACGAGGCCAAAATAAACCTTTTTTATTTCTATCCCTAACAGTCCTGAATCCTCCAATTTTAATACGAATTAGTGTCTTAGAAAACTGAAAACATTGTACAAAGTTTTGTGTGCTTGGATATTTCTGTCCGTTTCAACTACAAAGTTGCATGCTGGAAGCCTGGAAAAAGCCATTGAAAACCCCCGAGCTGGAGAGCATTGACCTGAAATATCTGCTTCATTTGAGGCATTATTTTGTTCTTCAGTGTATTTATATAAATAGTCATTCAGCAGTTAAAATTTGAAATTTGGGGTGGGTGGGTGGGTGGGTCAAAACAATTTTGAAATAAGATCACCATTTTTTAACATTGTTTATTCTGAATCAACCCTTAGTAGTTGCGACCATCCGTATGATCATTTCTCAGATAGTCGCATACT